CACTAAATTGTGGCCCTTAAGGTCAATTGTATGAGGTGGAAAGTGTCGTGATTGTGGATAAAAAACGTGCTCCCTGAGCTGCCCCTTGTAATTTTTCCTAAATTGAAGTGTTTGAATCAGCCCCTTGGCTTGGAGGAGGCAGGGGGGGGCGTTGGCTTCCCAACTGCATCCCACGTCTTCTACAGCGTCAACAGCAGCTCTGGTGTGAGCCAGTTGTGCTCTGAGCAGCTGCTCTTCCTTCCCGACTGCAGCTGGTAAGCAGTTCCCCTGCTGGCTGCCTGCTATGTTGCAGGTGGAAGGAGGAGAGAGTTGCTGATCCATTGCCTGCTTCCTTAATGAGCTGTGGGGAAAAAACTGGCTCTGCCTAGCCTAGAGAAGTGCCTAGCAAAGGGTGGCTGCAGCCCCTGACACAAGGCAGCCTAATAAAGGGGGGAAAGGGAAGCAGATGACACGGCTCCCTGATGCTCTGCCCCAGCTCTGGTTAGAACAGGGCCTGCTCTAACTTGTGCTGACTGGCAAAAGCTCCCCAGAGACCATATGCCAACTGGGCATAGTCTGAGAGCACTGCACTCCACTCACCCTCCCCCTCTCCTCAGTCGGCATCGGGGAAAGCATGGGAGCCATGTATGCTGGTCCTTTGCCAGCTGGGGATTTCCCCACACTGGGGGTTCCTTGACAGACATTGCTTGGTTAGGCCTTGAAATTGTGTGGTCCCCTCAGGACATTTAAATTGCTTGGGTTTGAGTGTCAAACTGGGGGAGACCACTAGAGTTCAGGGTGAACATTGCCCTCCCCGCAGTCACTGACTGCTGCCAAGACAGGTGCCTTTAAGCTGCTTTGTATGTATTTTTTCAACTTTTTAATAAATTTTTTTAGCTACTTGGCCACATTCCCCTTGCCTCTGTCCTTATTGGCCACTGCCAAGTGCAATGTGCCGTTTTAGTGACAAGCATGCGAGGATACAAGTGGTGATTTCCCTGGGTTTGAATCTGTCCTATGTGGAAATGAAACTCCCTTTGACTTCACTGGAGATTGCACTTGTGGAATTGGGCCCACGGTTAGGTTCTGGATAGTATGAGAGTATCACGTGGTAAGTACCTGTTTTGAGAGTTGCTCAGTTTTTAGACCGAGGAATACGTTTGTATCATCGTTTTGGAGAGTTTCACTCACTCTACATTTAAATTAATCCCATTCTTTTTCACACACACCTCTAGGTCATAGCAGAGAACAATTCCAAGACAAGGCTTTTTCTGTAACACATAAGAGACACATAACAGGATTTCTTAGGCTGCAGGTTCTTTGGGTCACAGGCGCTGGGTCTGAATCTCCTTTCCCGCTGATATAAATAAGTTAGGAGTTACACTAAGATAAAACTGGTATAAGTAAGAGGAGAATCCTCCCCCAATGTCTTCATATGTATCTGGCCAGCCCTCTGAGCACTTCTAGAATAGGAATATTAGATTGTAATTTATGCAACGGACATATTTGAGCTTTATGGCAGAAAAGAGTCCAATTACTTTCATTTAATTTTGTGAAATAATAGAACTGGAAGGAAAAGATGTTCCTACGTTCTAAATCTACAGATCTGTATTCTAGGCCTGGCTAGTAGCACTGCCTATGATTAACATTGCCTGACACTTCCCTTTGTAAGACCCTGTTTTCAATTGCTTGTAGCTTTGTCAAACTTCAAGTACTTGGGCTGAAATTTCCCAGGCCAGGTGTCTGCCTCGAGCTGAGCTTTTTGGAAGGCTTCAGCCAAAATGTTTCAGCTGTTTCCAAGAATAAGTCTGGGGGGAAATGTGTTTTGTTTAAAAAAAAAAAATAATAAAAATCTAGTGATCTTTTCTTGGAAAGCTGAGTGTCCCCAGACCAGGGGCGTACCCGCCGCCGAATCCACGGGACCGGCGGACCTCCCGCAGGCATGCTGCCTGACTGTCGCCCTTGCAGGGACCGGCAGGGCGTCCCCCACGGCTTGCCGCCCCAGGCACGCGCTTGGAGCGCTGGTGCCTGGAGCCGCCACTGCCCCAGGCTTATGAGCAGGGCCTTTGTCTCAGGGATGTACCTTTTGCTGTCCCCATGAAAATATGCCCAAATTTGGCCAAATTGCGAGCCTTAGCAAAATCGTATTTCATACATGCTGAGTAGATACTTGCTAGATCTGAATAAGGCAGGGATCCTGTGGAAAAAGAGTATGTTATCATGTAACCAAACACTGTATCATAATGCATATGCACAAGGGAAGTGAGTTAAGATGGCACAAGCAACATTTTTTTTTTAATGCTGGGTTTTTGTCAGTTTAATATAGATATACACACCAAGAAAAGCACAGCACAACTTGAAATTGTGCACAAAGGTGGCTTTTAAGTTTTCCATTGAGCTCCTCCAATCCTGATCTATCTGTTCTCTGGACATAATTTAGAGCACTGTTAAGGCCAGCAAGCCATTACAGAAGCCAGGAATTGCTGGGCACAGGGAATAGTGGGGGCAGAAGCAGGGGTGACACATAGAAGCCATTATGTGAGCTGTATGCCATCAGGTAATTCTTCTCCAGTTGGGTGATCTTCTTATGGCCAGTTATGCTGCTTTGTGGCTGCTTTGTAATGGCAGTACAGAGCAAAGAGTCATGAAGGCAGGAGTCCATCTAGATCACTGCATGCAGACACCAGTGTGAAGTACAGATGGAAAAACAGGGACCTGATGACTACGGTTAATGCATTTTTACAATAGACCTATTTATAAAATTGGAGGAAAAGATGACATCGTGTCACTGCCTCCATCTCAGCATACCAATGGGTACTATTGCTACCTGCTGCTGATGCTGCTGCCTCTCATCACTTCTGACCTTTTCAATACTTGCTTCCAGGTCCCGTTTCTTGGGAGAAGAATGCATCACACCTGCCCATGTCTGCCTAACTTGGCTTGCCTACGGATATCTCCTAGCAGATTCAAATGTTTACCAGAGTTCAGAAACGAAGATGTCTTTTTTTAGCAGGAACAGTTCTTAACCATAAACAGGCACTTCATGTATTTACATTTTTCCTTGTTATTGTGATGAACAAGTTATTTGCCAGAGGAAATTCTTTAACATACGTTCTTGCCTCGTAAACGTTGAAAACAAACATTGCGATACTGTGGTGTTATGGCCAAGACTTTCAAAAGGGACTACTGATATCAGATGCCTCCATTTTTGGATGCCCAAACTGAGATATCTTAAAGGGGAGTGATTGGCAATTTCATAGCACTTTCTGGAAATCATGCCCCTTTAAAATGTCCCAACGACAGGGCCCAGAAATGGAAGCTTCCAAAATCACTCGTCGCTTGGTAACTCTTGGCCAATATTTTTATACTTGAATAAGTTGATTAAAAATGTGATGTGTGTGTGGGGGGGGGGGTTGTACAGAAGTATAGCGCAAAGCATAAGATGACTGCCAAAATAAGTGTATTTAGATTAAATTTGGTACCTTTATTGTAATTATTATAGTATTTGTAGGTTAGGTGCATCACTACATTAACAGTTTAACCAATAGGTGTAGCTTTTACATTTTTTAAAACTGTCACATTAAACCAAAGCATCTAAGTGTAAAAAGTGTTCAAAGAATTCTATGTTGTTTTAGTGTTCAAAGAGAAGAACGACTTGTTACTTAATCTGGCGTAAAACGTGCTGCTCATCTGAAATGATGTATTAAAATGTAGTTTATATTTAAAAAGAAACCCTAAAATCTATTCTAATGGGCTGCCTGACTTCTTATCATGTACATGTATTAATATTGCTGTGTAAAAATTCTGTATCAGAATAATGGCAGTATATCATTTGATTTATTTTAATATTATAGCATTATTTTTGTCACTTTGGTCTTCAATTTTTATTCCATGTAAACTGCTATTACGTATATCACAGACAAAATTAGCAAAGTTCCCTAAAAGTAGGTCCATAAAAGAGTACACACTTTTATATATTTCTAAGGAAACTCCATGGTTCATACACTAAGAGCTCCCTAACGCAAGTTTCCAGCAGATTCTTAGCTGATGTGACCTGAATAACGGGGAATTTTCTTGACGCTAACATCAAGGCATTTGCTAGGTACGTGCCCCCAAGGGTCTTCTTAAACTTGTCAGATATATGTAGAGTGTGATTTTTATGAAACACCATGCAACTTGTCAATGACTATGGTAAGAATTCCTATAGTTTGTGTGAGTTTCTCACACTTGTCTGCCACCAGTTGTGTATACAGACCCAGAAGGAGAAAAAGGGAGCCATTCATCTTCCAACAATCAATTCCTTTTCTGCTGCTCTGCTGTTCTGAGACAAGTTGTGTTCTGCTGTATTAAAGCAAAGTGTGTTAAAGTTAGAGGGGATGGGAAATACCTTGGCCTCTTCAACAAATACCTTTCCATGCACTGTCATAGACCCCCAGGAGAGGAACATTGTGGTCTTGATGCTCCACCATTTCTTCTGGGTGGAGCTTGGATGGAATGGAGAAGTGGGAGCCCTGATAGCAGGTTGCATCTCCCCGATTCAAAGCTGTCTGACACCAGTACAAGTTAGTTGTCATCCCCCTTTGGAAGCTCCCAGTGAAATATTGGGTGTAGCTGAGAGCTCTACTTCATGCCGCCTTCCTGTTCCCCTTGCAGTGGGGTTGGGGCAGCTGGTACAGGATTTCCACCCCTGCAAAACAGAACGCTCCACCTGCCTCATTTGCGTAAAATGGCCTTAGTAGACCAGAGAAACAGTCCCTGTCTGCGTTGGAGTAGATTATGGTGGTTCTGGTTGTGTGATCACCACGCATCACTTCAGACCATCAAGGTGTCTGCAACTTTTTAGTCGCCCCGGAAGTACAGCCATCCTATTTATTTCCTCATCAGTCTTGCTGTAGCACTTCAGAGACAATTCTATCTCCTAATGCAAGTCAAGACAGGGCTTCTGCCTTCAATTCAGTCCTGCTGTAATGTGTATGTTATTTAGCAAGGGCATGTGCTCGAGGATCTGTGCATTGAAAACACACCACTGTTTTGTTGTTCTTCGATAAATGATTTTTGACTCAGCTTTCATATTTTAATATACAGTTGATACCTGATTTAATGTGATGCACCTAAATGATGCTACGCTACAACTTTGGAGGTGAGTGATTTTCCAGATTTAAGGAGGAGATCCAGAAGCATCAGCCTACAATAAACATGGGAAACAAATAATTGGTTTGGTAGCTATGGAGCTAATCAAATGACAGAACGTAGACATAGGCAGCATTTCACATAAACCATGAGTGTAAGAGGTAAAACTACCTTTAAAAATGGGTTAATGGTACTTAGTATACCCTTTGCTGACTGGCAATCACTTCTTACTGACCCTGGTACAAAGGGTTAAGGAGACATTTATACTTTTTTTATATATATAAAAACAAACAGATTTAAAAATTTTATTAAAGCTAATGTTAAAAAATTATATAATACATAGATTGAGAAAAGTGTGTCTGTACATCTGGGAATAGTGCTTAGATTATCCACAAATACAAAGTTTGTTTTTAAAGTCATAAGATACATATAGTGCATAATCAGCAATAACCCAAATTTAGGTGAATGAATTTAAGAATACAGTTTAGATGTTTAGCATCCATGCATTCAGGTACATTACTCATGAAAAAAGTTATACAGAGAGTTGGTGGCGGAAAGCAAAATATATCAATGCGTGAAGATAGTCCCTCAGTAATTGAGAATTTAGAATAGGTTGTCTATTTAGAGAAAAAACAGTCCACCAGGAAAGTATTTGAGTTACTTTCCCGTTTTAAAGAAACCATACAAAATCAGCATCTTCACAGTGAAACTCTTTCTGCTTTTCTAACCAGAATATTCTCCCCAAAAGGAGATGCACCATTCCCAGAGGCACTGCAATACCAGGTCAATGCATGCTGTGGACAGAGCAAGCTCTTATTCCAGCCCCCTGTTTCAAAAATCAATTTAATATACAGTCCTCAAATAAAGGACATAGCCGATATTAAACTGATAAGAACAGATTTAAAATTTTTATTATTAAGCTAATGTTAAAATTATATAATACATAGGTTGAGAAAAGAGTGTCTGTACATCTGGGTAGAGTGCTTAGATGATCCACAAATACACAGTTTGTTTTTAAAGTCATAAGCTACATATAGTGCATAATCAGCATATTCAAATCTATGCCAGTTGAGAGGAACTAGGTGTAGAGCCAGCAAAGCACGGAATGATGGCAACATTTGATACATCAGCAAGTGCTTACACTTCCTTTACCACAAAGCCAAGAAACAGATCTGTGGATTACTGGGTGCAGCCAGAAGGTGGAAGAGTCCCTTACCATGTTCCACCACGATAAAATCCCTTACTCATACTTCCAAAAGAATCGGCTACTCCCAGTTGTAAAGGGATGATCCAAGAGCAAGGACTCTCCTAATTAAATAATTGCCATAACATGCTCATTCAGAAAATCAAAGCTCCACTCTAGGAAGTGCAATGTCCCAAGCGTAGCTCAAGTAAAAGTCTGTCTTCCCACAATTGTATCCCCCAAAAGCGTGACAGCAGAAGGGAGAATTCAGAAGGGGCGCACTCATGGCCTTGGCTAAGGATGTCATAGTTGATGGCATCAACTATTATTCCCAAGTCAGACCTCACTGGCATATAAAACAATGAAGGACCTTATCCTTCATTGTCTTGCATTTTGTATAGCCACCTTGCACCTACTTTGCACTTGTTAAGATGCTGCCCAATCGGAAATGGACTTATAACCATTTTGCATCCACATGGCGCAGGTGTAAATAACTATACAACACAGAGGAGAATCAAACCTGAAGTCTCTGAGGGTCTTAATTTGCTCTGCCATTGTAGGAGGGATCGTTGTAAATCTTTCAGGTTTGAATAATTTGGTGAGAGTCCAACAGCCTTAAAGGCACAAGCGTTTAAATCCAATAGACGGATTAGTTTTTGTTTTTCTCTTCGTGGGCCTGATTCTGCCAGTGGAAAGGCTAACTCTAGGCCAGTCAGCCTTTGAAACCAGGGGCCAAGTCCTGCTGATGTCAGAGTAGCTCCACTGAACTCAGTAAAGCTATTGGCAATACACATACGGTCAAGGAACCGAGCCCAAGGCTGCAGATGACAGTAGGCTTCAGAAATCTGGGGCCTGCGTCTCCATTCCCTTATGCTAGTTTTACACAGGTGTAATTCCATTGACTTCCATAGCATGCTGTCACCTCAGTGGATTACCCCTAGTTTATGCTCATGAGAAGAGAATAGGTCCATGGCACCCCAAAAATATACTGTCGTCTATGCACATATCCAAGCAGTCTTGGACTATTATTTCTTACTGAGCAGTTATACAGTGCGCAGAGCTGTGAAAACATACAAGAGGACACAGGGACTGCATCTCATCGCACACTCACATAAATAAGGAGTAACTCACCTGAAGCCAATACTCCCATTATGTATCAGTGTGAGCAAGTGGACAATTCCACGCAAAGACTACTAGAGATCTGTCCATCAGATAGAAATCCTAGTAGATTTTATCACACAGAAGCAGAACAACCTCTGTAGTTAACTCATGCCAATTAACTTTTAATGGGATTAGAGATTTAGCCGGGTAATGAGACCATCCATAATTATATTAGATAAGGTTGTAGCAATGTATAGGAGCTCTAAACTCTCACGTTTCAGACCCAATCACTTACTAATTATGGGGGAGTTGGGAAGATGTGTCTAATTCCATAATTATCCATAACAGAGTTTCTTGCGCCTTTCTGTGATGCATCTTGTTCTGCTCATTGTCAGCCACAGGAAACTAGACTAAATGAATCACCAGTGGGGTATAGTAATTCCTACGTTCCCATGCCATGGAATATTCACTTTGTGTTATTACCATAACCCTGATTTTAGCCACTTGAGCCTTGTTAATTCACACATGTTAAATGAAGGTTGGTTTGGCAGGAATAAGCACTTAACATGACTGTTGTAGATAAAGATATGGCTTATTCCACTCAAATTCTTTCCTAAACTCTACCTTAGTCAACATCCTTTATCTGTCCCAGTGAATATTTCATGCATCAACTACAGCTGAAAAGTTCTGTCTGCAGTGGAACACCCCCTCACCCGAAAACCATGACACACTTCAATTTTGCTTCCTTTGACACCAGCAATAACAGGTTAGCTAGGTCCAAAAGAAGTATTTCAGAATGTTCACAGTCATGCATTCCCTAGCTGGTTTTTTTACCTGAGGGCCATATCAAAATTTAGTCAGCAGGGGCAATGGGATTGTGGGTAGCTAGCCCTGCCATTAAGGCGTTGCTTCAGACTTTTATGCTACACTATTTGTCTTGACATAACATTGGGTAAAAATTCTAGGCCAGGACTATCTGCTTCTCAGGGCTGTGTCTGCAAGGAAGGCCCCTATCTTCCCCTGTGATAGATAATTAGTTCTTCTGACAGTATGTCTTTGTGTGTTACTGTGCCTTTGTTTATGATTTGGATATGTTCATTAACAGGGGAAGGAGGAAAAACCCCAAACCTGCTTTGTCAGTGGTAACTAATCTTGACTTTTGGAAAAAAACATGTGGTCTATTTATTTTGCATTCTAGTGGTTGGCTTTTGTAGCTTAACTGAAAGCTTGAAAACGACCAGATCTTACTGTCTTATGGTTTGACTTTCATTGTAATATCAGTGATGGGCTTAGAAGGGCCTTCTTGGGCAAGTTAAGAGGTGAATGCCAAGGCAGTGGAATCATAGCGTATACAAGACCTGGATTTGATTGCCTTTATCTAAGCAGGAGGAGATGGTCTGTGGTGGACAGCCCACTAGACTGGGCTTCTGGAGACCTAGGTTCTACTCCCAGTTCTGTCACTGACCTGCTAGGTGAGTGTATGCAAATTGTTTAATCTCTGTACCTCAGTTTACCCATCTGTAAAATGGGGGTGATGCTACTACCCTCCGTTGGGCATTATGAGACCTACTGCTGGAACATGCTCTATAACGGCTAGGTAGGATTTGAAGGACTTCTGCTGAATTTACCTTTAGGAAAATTTACTTACTACTTTGTCAGGTTCCAGCTGTGAATAGTGTTCCTATTCCATGTCTCTCTCTCTGATAAAAAACAGTGGGGCTAGAATGCCAATTCCTCTCTCTTTGGGCAAAACCTACTGGCAAATCTATGGCATCTTGCACAGCTCCAGGAGTAAACCAGATCATGGCTTAGAGAGTCACAGTCTGTTCCCTGCTTCCCCCCACACACATCCCCATTGCCTTGCTCCAGAAGGGAGCAATGTGAGCCAGCCCCATGCCTTGCGCAGATTAGTTCCCCTGCCACTGAGCTGGTACATCAGGGGAAGGGGAGTGGAATATGGAACCTCCCTCCTCTCCCCCATCTGCTGTGATATAGCCCATATTAGGGAGTAGGATATAAGAAGGCACCTTTCACTCCCTTACTTCTCTGACCAGGCACATGTAGTGGGTCACAACCCTCACCTCTTAGCTTGCACATTGTTCTGAGCTTTATATATTCTTGTTACTGACATCCCCGTTCTCTACAGCATCTATTTATATATGTAACTTATAACTGCTGCAGTTTCCACTTCCCCTCTCAGTTGCCATTACAGCTGCCATATGGACCTTATTCAAGCAACAACCTTCAACTTTTCCCACCTGTATTATCCTAGTCCTGTCACGTCCACCTCATCTCCTCAGCCAAATTCTGGCACATGCTGCACACGGGACTTGCCAGCAAATCTGAGCCCAGCCCAAGGAAAGCAAAGGGGAAGCTGTCTCAGCCCTATGCTGCCTTCCCCCACCTCTACGTGTTCCAGGTCCTCAGATGCACTGGTGCTGCACCTGGCCCCGCAGGGGAAAGGCTGGGATCTTCAAAGGGGCCTAAATGAGTTTAGGTGCCCATTGAAAGTCAGGAGGAGTTGGGCACCTAACTCCTTTTTGGTCCCTTTGAATGTCCCAGTCAAGTGCTATGTGGGTGCAGCTCTCCTGATCCTGCAGCCAGTGTGACCCCTGGAACAATTCAGAGCAACCTTGTGGCTTCTCTAAGTTGAACCCAGGTGCAACGCTCACCCCACCCCACCCCCAAAGAGTCATTGTGGCACAAGCGGATCAGCAGACCACAGCAGCTCTCCAGCTATTCCCCCTTTCCATCAGTTATGCCCCTGACATACACATCCTATGCTAACCAGGAGAGATTAGCATATAGCATATGCATCCAAAGAAGTGGGCTGTAGCCCACGAAAGCTTATGCTCTAATAAATTTGTTAGTCTCTAAGGTGCCACAAGTACTCCTGTTCTTTTTGCATATAGCCAGTGTAATTCCCCAGGCAGTGTGCTGCTGGCGCAGAGGAAAGCATGTTGAGGGGATAGAGAACAAGGATCTGGCCCAGTGAGTTTGCATCTCTACTCTCTTGCACCTGCTTTAGCCATCTACATCTAGGGAAAGTGGGTGTGAAACACTCCCACTGGGTACATGAGTAGAGAATTCTGATTGGGTAGAGTTTTACATCCACTTTGCACTCAATCTGCACAGGTGTAAGACAGGGGAGCATTAGGACCACGAGGAACCCACTCCACAGGCTTCAGCAACAGGAGTGCAGAGAGATTTCCCAGAGCAGCATCAGAAAGGTATGAGCCCATATTTATATCGTCCACCCCGTTTCTGCAATGGCGTCTGTTCACAAGCCCATGCATGGAATCTTCCTAGCTGCAGGAATTTGTTAGGATCATGATAGCTACAGAGCTAGGAATAAGGGGGTGGGGTGTGTGAACTTCACAGAGGGCTGTTGCCAACTAGAATGCAGGAGCATTGTAGTGCTGCTTCTGTGGTGAATATGTGCACCTGGGAGCCACTGTGGGTATGGGGCGACAGAGCCAGGGACCATCCTGAGTTGTGGGCTGTGCACTGGCTAGCTCTGCACGATGGCCAGGGGAAAGGAATTATCCGTCTCTGGCTCTGAAGCAATTGCAGTTGAGTCTAATGAGCATGGGAGCCATTTGAAGCCCCAGTATGCACCTGCCATGGGGGGCAGAACCAGGGAATTGGGGCA